GTGAAGCGTAGCACCTACTGAATTATAAAGATTTTTATCACCTTATTAACTAAAAACCCTAAGAAGCACAACTTGTGTCTTTTTTTTTTTTTTCTGTTAAAATAAAGTCAATATGAGTAATAATTCTAGCCTGGGCATCTTTTTGCAGGGGTGATATCTAAGGAGGTACTTAACTTTGAGAGGCTCAGAATACTTCCAAGTATTTGTAGGGTGCTTGGTTATTATGTTTTTGTTTGTTTGATGATGAAACATCATCAGGACCTGCACTGGAGAGTTTAAAGCCCATGTGGCAAAGTACACGTTGCCAGAAGGAACCACAAAGGCGGGGCAACCATGTGTAACACAGCTGTTCTGGGCCAGTCCTGTTCAGACCAGTTGTCCTCAGGTAATTATTAATAACTCTGCCTTTCACTTTCAAAAGTGTCTTGGTTTGGACCATAAATTATATGTCAGGTAAAAGGCACAGATTAAACATTTCTTATCAGCTAGAACAAATATTTTCACAATTGAAAGACAAGACTTGGGTAGTGAAAAGAGCAGGGAGGAAAAAAGTAGAAAAATGAAGAAAAGTGGTAAATAAGACTGGGTCTACTTACTTGAAGACTGTAGCCATAAAATTATTAGAGTGTATTGCCACACACTAATTTTTTTTTTTAGGTCTAATTCTATTTAGCTAACCCTATATCCACAATGACTAAAATATTCTTTGTTGGAAATTTGGCTAAATGACAAGTGGAGAAACCTTGTTGATCATGGCCATTAGCCAAGTAAAACCCATTGTTTGAATAGCAACATTAATTTGCAAACATTACTTTATCAGAACAGGAACACTGACTCAGTGACAGAATAAGAAATAGAGGCTTGAACTGAAACTTTATATTCTTTCTATTAAATGACACTTAAGATTGTTAATACAGACTTAGATAAGTGGTGTGAAGACAGCACCGGGATCCAAATGTGTGAAACAGAGTAGTGAGGGTAGTAAGTACACTAAAAATAAAGGCTATGTTTCATTTTGGAAGTGAAATCGTCAGCATGTTATCTAATTTTACGGTATTTTTAATTGAAAGTAACCAACAATATTACCGTAAAATAGACATTTTCCACAAAGATAGAAATGAAAAATGTTTTTAAAGTGATGTTCTTAAAAAACAAATCTTTGTGGAATTTCTACGCATGCTACATTGGATCCTAATGGAACCATACTTAGAAAAGGAAGGGGTCTCCAGTTTCATGCTCATGTCAGCATCTCCCTTTCTCTGAATAGAGGATAACATCGTATAATGTCAAAGCCTACTTATTACTTGGTGAAAAAAATTTATTACTTTTTAATTTTGTCATTTTTATAAGCCCATTGGAGAGTATTAAAATGCTATAAAAATAAAGATTTTGGTAAGTTTTATGTCTTGTACTTTTCCCATGGACTCATTTTTATAACTGTACTCATTTTTGGCCTTCTGTTCCAACTATTGCAATTCTAGTAGATATAAAAAAGTTTTATACAATGATGATATGTGTGCTCACAAAACAAATATGATAGAGAAGTAATTTTCACCCTCCAAGAAGAAAATGGATTTTGCTTTGGCAAATAGTTTCCCTTCCTTTTTAAAAACCTGTTTATTAGGGGAACAAAATCCAAAAGTGTACTCAATTTATAACTCTTTCAATTCATGCATGATCTTTGGTCTATGTCAAATGCAAACACAATTTACAAGAATTTAATCAAGGTATCTTGCCATTTCTATTCTTTTTTCAGTATAATGTAAAATATTTTCCATGTCTATAGTTTTCACAATTACTCATTTCATAGCAATATAGTTGGTCTGGTATAACAAAAATACTGGTCATTTGTCTAGTACTAGAAATTTTAATTTCTACTTATGTGCCATATAAATATCACTGCAATCAATATATTTAAAATACAAATTTTTGCTTCTTCTAAATTATTTCCTTAATAGACATTCTTTTGATTGCAATAACTAGATCAAACATAAAAAGAGCTACATATTTTTGAAAATCTTTTCATTATAGGAGTTTGTAGTTTTAGTGCAACTTCATAAGAATTATTTTAAATTGTTAATTTAGTAGGTTTAAATGGTACCTCAAATTTTGCTTGTGATTTATTGATTACTAAGAAGGATAGATAATTTTTCCTCATATTTGTTTAATATTTGTACACTTAGAGCATGGAGATGGGATTGTTCAGTGTGGAGGGAAAAGGCATTCAGACTCTGTTTGAAATTAATAACGGATACATTATTTCTTTAATACAATGTCATGATAAGACTAATTCTGAATTGAATGTGATCTATTCAGTCTAATCCTTAACTGGAGATAATAGCAGATGTAGCTAAGATAATTTTGTATTTGCAGGGGGAGAAAAATTCGATTCCTTTGTCAATTCTGTAAAATTAATTGGCAATCAATGGTAAATATATTCAAACAGAATACTCATTGAATCATTACTAAGCCAAAAGATTATGTATATTCATTCTCTGAATACTGATTATTTTATTAATGGTTTATTAAGATGGGAATTGGAAGTAAATCATCCAAGTGTAGGTGTGTATTAGGTGATACAATTATTTTTTTCTTTACTTGAGATATTCTGCTTATGCTAGTATTAGGAAGACAGTACTTAATATTTAAATTTTCTATTCCTTAGTCAAATTATTAGTCTACCAGATATTTTTTATATTTGACTTGTATTTTCAATGGTTATTATATTTATACATTGATGAGTGACACAAAGGAACAAAACTAAGGATATTTACTTCTTTGACTTACTAATTATATATTCAAAATAAGTAAAAATGTATGCATGACTTTGACTTAACAGGAAATTGATAAACTGATTGTGTATCTTAGTTGGCTTTATTATGTGTTTGAAAGAGACAAAAGAACATGCGTTAAATTATATACAGAATCTTAACTTTAGATGAAAAAACATTGCCTTCAGAAATATAATTGTTAACATTTTGAGGTATATGATTCCCTTATTTAGATTCCTGCTTCTATTTCATTTAATAAAATATTTTATCAAAAACTCAATTGTAAACTTAATATTCACAAAGGCTTTTAAGTTATTATAAGTAGTTATTTGCATAATGATTATACCTGAGACAGTCATAATTTTGTCTGTTTCTTTTTCTCTTGTTGTGGCTCAGCAGTGGATCAAGAGCAAATTGTGATAATTGTTCAATCTGTTAAAACTCAGAAAAAACTCAGGGAGGAAAAAACCTTTTTCCCCTTTTTTCTAGCCATTGTTCATTTAGCACGGAACAATAGGAAGATCTGGCTGGCAACAGATTAACTGTAATAAATCTTAGCAGCACCAACAGTAACACAGGCAGGTATTATGCACTTCCTATTGTGGTACAAAATACGATACACAACATCATCTAGGGTATTCTTGTCAAAAAATATTTAATTTGAGTCCAATCAAGTCTTTCTATATTATTTTCAGTTTATAAGAAATAAAGGAGATAGAAGACTATGTAAGACAATTCCTCTGTTAGATACTGAATAACCACTGTGTGTAATAGAGCAAAATCTGGGCCACTGAAATTGATTTGTTATTGTTTTGTCCTTTTATCATCCATTGCTGGTCATAATGCTCTATTAAAAACATCACCATATAAAAAAATTATCACTTCAATTTTTATGGAATTTAAGGTTTGCCTATAGTATTTCATTTGAAACACACCAAGACCTTGGAAGACAGATACAGCTGTGCTCATTTTAAAGATGAATCTGACTCTGGAAGGATAACAGTGCTCTTTCTCCTAAAACATATTGCACTTATTAAACATAACATTCCCAAAGAATTCTCAAGTAGCTGGGGTGGGGGACAAGTTACAGAGCTCCGTGTCATGGGGAATAAATCAGCAGAACTATTTAATTGGCAGCAGGTCTATGAAAATACACAGAAATTTTTGGGTCATTTAGTTGGTTTGAACATCATCTTGAAGAAGTCATTTATTCATTCAACTCTGTACCAGACAATTTTTGAGGTGTAGGGAAACTGGCAGTGAATGAAATGCCCCTACCCTCATGGAACTGACATTCTGGGGTAAAGGAAACAAACCTTAAACTATTTATTTTAAAGTACATATAGAATTTTTCAACTAGTATTGCATTTTATAGAGAAAAAAATAGAGCTGGGTAACTAAGTGCAGGGATTAATAAGGGAGAAGGTGGAACAGAGATGTATCACTCAGGTGATTATGGAAATCCACTGTGATAAGAGATTTGAACCGTGTCTGAAATAAGTCAAAAATTGAAGCCTATGAAGATATGTAGAGAGAGACCTGCTCAGGCAGAGGGAACAGAAATGGCCAAGGATTGATGCAGACATAAGCTTGCCAAGCTGGAGAAAGTGCAAGAATATGTGGCTGGAGTGGAATGAACCAAGGGGGAAATAGGAGGAGACAGAATCAGAGAGGCAGCTGATAGCTAGATCATCATGAGCTTTGGCAGCTGTGGTAAACACTTTGTCTGAGTGAGATGGGGAACAAGTGGAAGGTTTTGTCAGAGGACCTGTTTTGTTGGAATGGTGGTGCTAAAGATTGTTTGGGATGGGTTCAAAGGAGAATGGGAAGTGTATTGGTTTTCTAGTACTGTGTAATAAATTACCAGAAATTTAGTGGTTGAAAACAACACCCCTTTATTAGTCCACAGTCAGTGTCACTCAGTGTTTTTCTCATCTGAAGCTCAGGGTTCTCTTTTAAGCTACATCACTGTGGCAGGATTCAGTTCCTTATGGTTATAGGACTGAGGCTGGCCCCTGTTTCCTTGCTATCTGTTAGCTGGGACTTGCTCTCAGCTCCTAGAAGCCACCCATATTCTTGGCCATGCGACCCTGTCCATCGTAAAGCCAGCAGTGAAGAATTTCCCTCATGTCAAATCTCTCTCACGCTTTGAATTTCTGATTTTCTCTTCTATGAGTAGCTGGAGAAGATTCTGTACTTAAAGGGCTCGTGCGATCAGTCCTGACTCACCTGGATGCTCTCTCTGTCTTCAGGTTGCCTGGCACATAACATGACCTGAGCAGGAGTAGTGCATTCATCATACACGTAGTCCCAGGGATGACGGAGGTGTGCACACCAAACAGGCAGGGGATCTTGGAGGCCAGCTTTGAATTCTGCCAACCAGGAAGAATAAAATTGGAGTCAGGGAGCATATAGACTGACCTTGGAGACGATTGTTTATTTTGCCTATAGAGGAGAGCAGAGCAATGGGACAATAACCAATAGTAAAGTGCAGGGGTGGAGGGCGGGTCTAAAAACAATATTTTTAGGATACAGAAAAACCAAAATGGTAGCATATGGATGAGAAAGATCCAAAAAGGAGAGAAAGTCTTTGGTATCTGGAGTGGGCTAAGTTGCTTGAAGGATACTCTGGAGAAGGCTAGGAAGGATGGCATCCAGGGCACGTGTGAAGAGGCTGGTCCTGGGAGACGAGAAGGAGCAGGTTCACCACAAAAAGGAGGAGTCTTAGCTATTTGGCTGGGAGCTGTTGGAAAGTTTCTTCTGTTTCTTTTTTATTTCTCCCACAGTGAAATAAGGAGATTTGTGGGTGAGAGTGAGAGTGGGGAAGTGGGTGATGGAGTGTAAATAAAGCCTTGTAATGGGATGTATACAAGCCAATATATGATGAATGTGAAGATAATTTGACAGATATATTATTTTCCCAACGAGAGAAAATCATTTTATGCTCTAGAATTGGTTTTGTATTTTTAAAGAAAAGAAAAGGAAGAAGGAAGAAATGAAAGAAAGGAGAAAGGCAGGCAGCAGCACCTATGCATTTACTGGACTGTTATTTTTCCATTACAGTGTTATTGGTGCTATGAGAATGAATGGAATAGAGTCCTAGTGTGAAGGATTGAGGAGAGTCATGTAAACATTTCATTTAAGTGTATAGGGATATTTACAAGAAGAAATGTGAAAGATGACAGAAGTACTTAGCCTGCCTGGTCAAAATAGAAGAATAACATTTGAGATCGTTGTTAAAGGAAAAAACAAGGATTTGTCCAATAAGAATGGATAGTATTATTTAGAGTTCTCCTTAATTCTGATGAAAAAATATCTTTGGGGTGATAATAGAATAGAATAAATAGAGTAAAATAGAATAAATCCGGATAAATTTGGGAACTGGTGAGTGCAGTCATGGCTTCAGTCATAGGCCAACCAGTGAATGATTAAACATTTAAACTCTACTGGTCTGAAAAAAACAAAAAACAAAACAAAAAAAACTACTGGTCTGAAAAAAAAGTTCAGAAAGATGCCTTTGAAGAGAACTTAGCATCAGGATAATAGTATTACCATTCATTAAACTTCAAATATTAATATTGCGTGATTGTTTTAGTAAGACTCAGTTACCTCATTTTTTCAGATTAAGTAAAATAGGCAAAAATTCTTCTGGACTTTGCTCTTGCTCCTATATATTAGATGTGTGACCTATCTACTCAATGCTTTTTGTTTTAAAGATTAATGATTTATATAAACTGCTTTTCTGGCAAATTGAGGTCGTGGAAATGTCAACAGAAAGCGGTCTTTCACAGCAATTGTTCATAAAGGTTTGTTAACTACTTGGCTATCTTCATTTTGAAACTGCTAGTTAATATTTACAATTAGAACAGTAATTTTTCATAGCTATTTTATAGAAGTATATAATCTATTTATTTTATTTAACTTTTATGTAGACAAATACACTAATGATAGGTAAGACTTACGTAAATTGCCAAGAACTTTATTATTTCTCCTATTCATTGAGCCCTTCAGTAAAAGCAACATTCAGAGTCATTTTAGCACCGTTGAAGCTTCCGTCTTTGACCTAGGAAAAAAACTGGTTTGATGTTTGATTTTTAGTTTTAGATCATAGTATAATATTGAAAGGAATGTCAAATAAATGTCACCACAAAAATTGGGCTTGTGATTCTCCTAATAGTTTAGAAAACAAGTTCGACATGATTACTTTTCACGACTGTACCAAGTGATTTGCAGGAAAAAAAGTGGGTATAGGAAAAACTAGAAATCTTCTATTCATATACTGTTGAATCCTTAGAAACTTAATTGCATTTTGAATAAGAATAACGTAGGAACGTAAAGCACATATACATCCTTTTCCCTTGAGAAACAAAAATCAGTAATGTGATATTCAGGCAAAGAGCATCAGCAGAATACGTGATTAGTTTTTAGTCAGTTTTTTTGTTCAAAAGCAAATGATTAAACTAATTGAAAAGCATCTATAACTAATAACCACCATTTATTAGAAATATTAAACCTTTAAACATTTTAACAATTTATTAAAACAGACTAAATTTTACAAATTATAATTAAGTAATATATGGTCCCTATAATTTATATAGCAGTTCAGAAAACACCTGAAAATGTCTCCTTCTGAATTAAAAAATACATATTTGTATGTATGTGTATGTGTGTGTCTGTATATGCATATATAATCAAAACTAGAGGCTAATAATCCCTTAAAAATATAAATGCCAATCAACCACAATAATGTATTAAAATATTTGACAATAGTTAAGCATTATTAATATGTACTGATCTCTCATGAACACACACACACAACAGATAAGCACCAAAAGCAATTAGGAAGAAAACCTAAACAAAAACCCTGTGATGTGAACAGAATTTTCAGTGGTTTATAGAAATCTCAGTGCATTGGCATAGAAATTCTAATTTTTATGGACTGAGATATTTTAAATAAATATTTGGTATAAGTATAGGAATTATAAATTGAATCACATCCATAGAACTATGTGTTTTGTATTACCTAGGGAGTAATCTGTGCATATTTCATTTTTTAAGTACAATTATCATTTAAGAGACATTTGCATGTTAGAGTACCTAACAGATGTGTCTTAAATTTCAACTTAAAGTTTGTAATTTAGTGAATAGTTCTGAATTCTAATTTTAGGTTGGGAGGTATGAAATTTACTAGGGCCATAATAATAATAGAGTATTTATTAGACAATGGGAATGATGAAAAGCTAAATTTCTATATTAAATTTATAAGTAGTTTTACTTTAATATTAAAGCATAGCCCCTGAATCATCTTCTGTAAACCAAACTACCCCAAGAACATGACAGACATTGACTAGCTCTTTGAAATCTAGGATGTACATTTCTTACAATTAACCTAGCACCACAGGGCATATGGAGGATGCCCACTAAACATTTCTAAAGTGAGTAATTGTCTGAAGTTGTTAGAATTATGTTTGGTATTAATATTTAATAACATTAGAAATGCTTGTGAAAGAAGGACAAAAAACCCAAGAACACACCTATGTTTTTAATGTGACATTGATTCTAAAATCTAAATTTCATGTATGGATTTTGAAAAATATATATTACATATAATATGTATGCCCTTAATGGAAATTAAGTCTAACTTTTGTTTTTTTAATTCTGAGGAGAGCAATGTGTAAAAACTCCGTTCTGAGCTGTAAGTTTTTAAGTTTTTCCTTTCACAAGAAGCAAAGGTGTGAATTACCCCTGAAAGAGATTTTTATTTGGGGGGAAACCTCTTTAAGATTTTTTCTTTATTTTCAGCAATATATAGCAAGCACTATCCAGATGCACAGGGAAAATGGAAAAATCCCATTTTTGTGTCTTTTGATTGTCAGTTGTGTGCAGCTGGGTCTGGGATGAGTCTCTTTTTATAAGGAAGAATGCTTACTTTATAGATTAACACAAAGCTGCCTATAAAATATAGTTTGTTTTCACCTGCACAGAGTGAGGGAGATTAACCAGAGATCTAAGTACAGGATGTACAAATAGCACCATCTTTGGGAAAGACCCAAAGAAAACCTTGGCCTGGCTTTTTGTGCTGCTCAACCTGGAACTGAAGTTCCCTGACCAAGTCTCAAGGCTGTGTAAGTCTGAGTAGCCTGAGTGTTATAGGTTGTGTATTATGTTCTGATATTAATTGTTTTGATGAGGCCAGAACCTAAGATCCCAGTCCTGTGGTGTCCCCTCAAGGGGATGGCATTTCCATTCTCAGTCATCCTGGAGAAGGCAAACTCTCAAAGAAGACATGAAGGTTACAGGAGACACACTTTAAGTTAGACACTAGGTGGTTGGGTTGGGGAGCACGAGCCATTTCCTACTGTGAATCATGTTTGGATCATCTCCGGTGGTAGTGATAGAGGGAGGAGGCGGTGGAAGGCAATATAAACATTCTGTTTCAATAAACATTCCTCAAGTGCGGCCCAGAATCTATGTTTGTATCAAGCCCTCCTCCCCACCACCCACCACTCCAGGAGTCTGATGAAGACAGTCTGGGTGCTATACTACAAGTGATAATAAACTTAAAGAACAGAAAATTTGGCATACAAAATCAAACATATGATTGGACAAAAAATAGCTTTTAAAAATGTATTACTTTGTCACATTAAAAAATATCTACCGTGTTTCCCATACTAAAACTATATGTTGTAATCTGCTAGAGCTATATCTAATCAAAACATGGCAAGACTGCACTCTTCCATTTGAAATGGCTGCCACGCCATTGCATAAATGCAGCTAATGTGGTGAACTCCTTGCTCGGATTCACTTAGGGGCTTCATTATCAATCTGGCCTTGGGGGAATCAGATTATGCTGAAATTCATTGCCTTTGGTTCATATTTTAGGTAAAAGAAAGAAAATGAGTCTCTTGACTGTCCCTCAGTTATGGATCAAGTAACGTCCGTGGTGTGAAGGAAGGTTGTCCACAGACTTCCCATTTATCACGTTGATAGTTGATGATTCATCACATTTTCGTTTGCAAACAAGATGTAATGATCCTGCTATATAATATACAGGACAATCTTCAGTTTGACTAGCGATTAGTTTTAAAGGTAATATTCTCTCAGTACATGGCAGCAGGTAATTATTTATTTCTTTGTGTCATCAAGGCATACAAGCAATTTTAAAGTAAAAGAAAAGCATCAATATCACCCAGCAATGATAAACACCACAGAAACAACAATGATCTCTTTCCTGTAAACATATTAACCTTCTTTTTTGGTCTTATACCATGAAAATATATGTAGAGTAATTATTTACTCAAATTAGAAACGACAGTGAACTTTTTAAAGAGGAAGTCACCCCTTGGGTTTATTGCATTAAAATTTGTATTTT